GTGACTAGCTCTTTAAGTGAACTGCCATGCCCATCTCGATTGATCAGCAGGCGAAAATGATTTTCGCACTGGGCGCTGTGTGTGGCGACAAGAGGATGGCTGCCAAGATATGGCATTTGCACCCCAATCTGTCAACGATAATGCAAAGGTGCCAAGCCCTTTATGTGATTAAAAAGCTGCCACAGCTAGCTCTTGCTCGTGCAGACGAGACAAGAGGCTTCTTGCCCTGTAGGATGTCCCCAGTTTGATGAGAAAGGCAACCCACACAGTTTTACGCACAGTTTGACGAGAAAGGCAACCCTGTCTATTATTTTTTCGTTCCATGGTGAGTTGGGTGCTGGGTACCAAAGATTTGATGCAAAGATTTCAGGAAAGGCAGTACATCGTAACTAACGATGAACAGTAGAAAAAATTGTACTGACACTGACAAAAAATTGTACTGAACAGCTGACAAAAAATTTTGAAATTGTGTGTAAGGTTAGCACACAAAATTCAGGTGTGAGACAGCTGTGCATATTGCACATTTTTTATACATTTCTGTTTTTTCGCACCAAGCTGCTCCAAAAGCATAAAAAACGTGAAAATTGCACCGAACTGCTCTAGAAGAGCCTCAAAAGCTAGAATTTTGATGCAACGCCAGCTTAAGTGAGGAAAAATGGCGGAGTTGACCAATACGACGCAATCAAGCGTGCTTTTTTTTTTACTTTGCACTTTTCTGGTGACGAAGGCTTCCATGGTGCCGTCATAATCTCTTATAAACTGTTGTAAATATGCGTGACCCTGCAAAAATGTGCTGCCATGCATTGAGCGTGCTGCTTCTAGTAGCTAGGCTGTGTGTTCTGGTGCCACTGGCATCTAGCGATAACCAGCGAGTTGGGTTGCAAGCGTAGCCGGGTTGACTGTTAAATTCTTTGTTGTGCGTAATGCGTTCCTCCGGTCGCAGAGGTTTTTATGTCGACACTGCGGCGTGCGGTCACCTAAACGTGCGCGTTTGGCGTGAGCGAGTGACTGTAAACGTGGAGCGACGCATCTCGTGAATGCTCTCTTGCATGCACATGGGTTCCCAAAATGGGTTTCGGGAGCAACGGAATGCGTGCCAGCCATTCTCGATCTGCAGCTATTAGCTACTAATTAATTTAGACAAGTGAGTTCTCGTAGCATTTTGCATTTAAAAAGCCATCACTTGCGAAATCTGCACATCAGGTAGAGAGAAACACTCGGTTACTTGCGAAGCTGTGGCAAGAGAACGTGCATTCAAACAATTTTAAACAATATTAATGGGCACTTCGGCGCTTTATTCGTGACTCCTGACGAGTCAGCAATCACATGGCACAGATGAACAGTGATTTGCCACTGCTGCGTTTTGTAATCGAAACTCGCAACAAGCACTTCAAGAGCTTATAGCTGCGTGCCAGCTCTAGGCTGCATGAGCTTTTAGGCTTAGCTTTATGTTCGATCAATGTTTCGGTCAGCTGCCGTTTCGCAGTTTGACTGGTGTGCTTCGTTTTTTTCTTTATTTTTATCTTTTTTGACCATAAAAATGGCCTCTGTACATTCGGCGGTTCGTTTGCATAGACGCGAATTTCTTAGCTGCGCGAGTCCCGGAGCGGGTCGGGTGGCGATTGCAAGTCGATCTAAGATCGGTAGTTCGACATCGATGGTGGTGACCTGTGATATTGAAGAAAATAGAACAGGCCAACGTGGGCCCTAATAATAATGTGTGGTTGCTCGCATGGAGAGACGTTATCAGTACCATTTGCTTATTACTTAGCGCCATACACACACTCTTTATGACATAGTTGGTGCGGCGAGGTTTCTTGGTTCCCGCGCAGCACTCTTGAAAGTGGTCTCGCACGCGGTGGCTGCGAACGGCGGTGCAGGGCTTATGTTGTCTGTTAAAAGCTTGCAATACACTTGACGCTATTATGTTAGGCTTTTCTTTAAGTGAAGAACCACTGTTACGTAACTACGATTCTTGTGCGATCACAATTCTTAAATTTATTTTTGAGTGGGTGCATTTTTATTTTTAAATGTTTCCTGGGAACCTAGTTTTCAACATAACCTTTTTAAAATATTTATTTAAATTATAATCTATTTTAACATGTTTGTTACGGGGGGAGACCATGGGGTATGTAAAAATTGTGCGGGTGACACCTAGCGATAATCTGTTCAAAAGCTTCCTTTCTTATTCGTTTCTGTGTTCTGTGTATATTTTAGCCAATTGACATATGCACTGGTGCCTCCACATTGCTAAAAATTTTGTCTTGCAAGCTCCCAGGACGACATATTAAATGCCACTAACTGCTCCAAAGCAAGGTTCTTGTGCTCCAAAATCGAAATTTTGCTGCTGTGAAAACTGCTCCCAATTTTGATTCAGCCATCTCACCCCTGAAAATTTTCAAGTGCTTCGTTCGTGCTGGCAGAGTTGCATTATTCTTGCAATACTGGACTTTTTCTTTTCAGTGAATCCAGCTCGCCTGGCCCTGTAGTGTGTGCAAGCTATGTGCAAAGTTCCTGAATATGTTGCCCATCCTTCCTTCTGTCTCTAGTGGGAAATAAATAAGGCCTGGAGCAGAGTCTTTCGGTTTTACTTGGGTTTCATTTGCACATATTGATGCTGACGTGCCCTTATTTTTATTTTTCTCCTCGCTCAAGGCCTGTTCTCAAATGACGGTTACTTGACAATGCATCACGAACGCTCTCCAAGTCATTATATTAAAGATAAAGTGAAGCCAATTTGTTGAGTCATTCTCAAGGTCTCCCACTAAATAGCTCTTTTAGGTTAATTTATTGAAAAGTCTTTACCATATGTGGCACAGGTTTTATGACACTATGCCATCACTGTAACAAATCGGCTTTTTGTGTTCTTCTAAACCAGGTTGTAAAAGACTGTTCTTTTGATCATATTCACCGTATTTACTCTCGTAATGAATGCACTCGCATAATACACGCACTCTCAATTTCAGTCATCTAATTTGGAGGATTTTTTTCCCCCATGTAATAAACGCACCCTCTACATTCATCCAGTCCCGCTAACCGACCCCTGGCACATTCTAACCCGTTATATCTCTTTCATTCGTTTTTAATTATTTTGACGACCCCCCGCCCCCTCGCCCGCTGCCGCGCACGTATACTTTTTCCATTTGTCTGTGCGCCACAGCTGGGGTATCAAATAGTGCGAGTGTTGTTGAGACATCGCAGCTAATAAGCACACAGAGAGCGAAGGCCACGAAACGTCCCGCGCCAATCGATCGAGGATCGCTTTCTGCGAATACGAAAAAGCCCAACCACGTGCACTCGATTTTCAATGCGAGGACAGGAATGGCTGTCGCAAAGGGTCATTTGTCATCACTATCGCATCACAGGTTCCTGGAAAAAAAAAAAAAATCACTTGTCGTCCAGAAAAGATCGTGATGATTTCCGCAACGTGGTTGCACCCATTGTTTGCTTGTTATCCGTGTGCAGAGGAACTTCTCATGTAGAAGTGAGGCGGCAGTTATATTTTGTCGTTAATCTTGTTATCGACGGTTTCTTTTGATGCTTAGGGGGCAGCTTGCTACAATGTTAACGACGTCGTCACGGTCGTTGTGCGAGGTTGCCGCGAAGTTGGCAAAGTGCGTCGTAGCACACTCTTTCGGGCACCCCTCGAGATCACAGCAGATACCACTGCTGCAGTTAAACGATTGCGAGAAAAGATAGCCGCAAAACACTTTTATGGCGTGCGCAGGCAGCCCGGGAACAGCTGGAAGAAGAAAGCGCCATCAACCACAAAAGATGAATAAAGTGCAACAAAGGAGCTGTTTCCAAACAGTGTACGCGTATGTGAATTGCGAAAGGCTAAGCGACCTAACTTTTTTTTGCATTACCGCATTTTTTGCTTCTCCCGAAGAAGTTCTCATAAAATTTACTCTGCGTAATAAACACACCCTCCATTTTGCTCCAATTTTTCTAGAAAAAAAGTAAAAAAAGTACGCGAGTAAATACTACTTTACATTAAGCATTTATGCTTGGATTTGGCATACTCTGTGCATTCAGTCAAGCAAAAATAATGTTATTTATTACTCAAGATAAAACAGACCACAAACATCTAGCTAATAGCTGCACTTTAATGAAAACAAGAAAATTTTAAACCGCATGTAGAAGGAATAGTAGCGAAGCTCGCCATAATGACTTATATTGTCTCATTGATTAATTTTAAAATCAGTAGCTGCAACAAAAAGGAAGCCACAGACAATGAAGCCCAGAAAAAGATAAGATCGTTATTGTATGTTGGTCCAACAGAGAACATGCATCATTAAAGTTGATGGCAAAACAACTCGCTGTTAGTCATGATCAAAGCTGCAATCTTTGCTCGGTGAAAAGCTTTATTATGCACTTTTTTCATATTTTAAAAAATTTGTAATGATGTCAATTCTGCCAGGGATTTTTAAGGAGTTGCTTTACAAAGAATACGAACATTGTGTTATACATTCACAAATTATATACAATAGTTATACGTAGTTACAAAAACTAACAGTAAGACATGATAATATTTATTGGCCTACATCATTAAGAAGGGCAAAGAAGTAATGCAAGAACACTTTGTCTCAGTTACACAAAATACACTGAAGAACATGCCTAAATCAAAAAAAGAGAGAAAAGTTAACGCATTAAGTAATGATGATAACTGTACCAGGTTATATCACAAACATCAAATATACAGCTATGATGGACAATGATAAATGCGCTAGTGATAGCATCGCTAACGTGTTGCTGATAGCATGGCTTGGCCAGCAAGTTCAACAAACTTTACAGATTCATTGTCATTGACATTTTCATATGTCCATTGGATGAGCTGCTGGAAGTGTCCATCTCACCGAGTCTCGTCATTGTGCTGAGCTTCAGTATCCAAGAGGTGTCATAGTCTATTATTGTCAAGGGACAGGATGGGGTAAAATAGTGCTAATCAGTGTGCGGTGTTTATAATGCCTTCTCAAGAGCAGGTAGGGGCATGTGTGCAGGCCAGACGGCTGCCACGGGACTTGCAGGGTCTCGTAGGGCAGGCCAACCTTTGCTTTGCCCGGGGCAGCTACCAGGACGCAGTGAAAATGTGCATGGAGGTGGTGCGGCTGGCTCCACATGCAGCCGAGCCCTTTCAGACTCTGGGGATGATCTACGAAGCATTGGGAGAGCCCCAGCGGGCCCTGCAGTTCTCCCTCATCGGTGCCTACTTGAGCCCACAGGACGCTGACGAGTGGAGCCGGTTGGGAGAGTTATCCCTCGAACAGGGCGACGTGCACCAGGCCATTGCGTGTTACGTCCAGGTAAGTCCTTCTCCAGGGGTAGGGTGGCTAAAATGGGGAGGTGTGATGAGCGCGGCGCTTTTTGCTTGCTGGAGAAGGCCCTTCGGCCCGCCTGATGCCGTTTGGGGCGCTGATGGCAGCGGTGCGGTGGTAGTAAGCAGCGCACTTCGCAAAGTTTTCTTCGGGTGCGCTGCTTTTTTTTTTTATTCACAGGCGGTAGCTGTTTTGCAAGTAGTTCATTAATCGGTGATTGCACTGGGTTACTCTGAAATGCCTGAAGGTGTCAACGACAAAAAAGAAAGGTAGATCCAGCATCGCTGCATTATGCTTGTCTGCAAAACTTAATGCTTCAGTTCAGCCTTTTGAAGAGTCCCAAGGGTGGCAATGTGGATCACTTAGTGGAGGAGTCACTCTGTCTGTAGAAAAAATTCTGCATGAGATGGAATAAAATGAGGAAGACTACGAAAGACTTCCATCTAATGCACTAGCAGTGTCTGTCGCCCATGAATCGTACACCGCTGAGCGGCGGATGGTCGCCCTGTATATTATGTGACAAGCTATGCTGTGAGAAATCTGGTACTTCGTAATAATCGTGAGGAGTGCAGGAACGCCCGCCTTGTTTCGCAGTGTTGGTGGTTACGCGTTATAAGTAACACCTTTGCTGGTATAGCACGTCACTTTGGCAATTAGTATATGACGCACTCGTTATACATGTAGAAATGGAGCTGCTGCTTGAATTGTGCGAGTCGTAGTTGTCAGCAAGTCGTTCCTGCAATACGGTAGTGCTATTTATCAGTTATGTTTCCAAAATTAAATTTGCTTCTGCTGATAGTACAGGTCACGGAGCATTAAGTTTGTAGTACCTGGAAAAGCAAAGCTCACGTTTCCATAAACAGTTGCAATTCTAGCGGGCCCTGCGTAGCTTAGGGGCCAAAAATTATTTACACTGCAAATATTTTACACTGCAAATACCTGCAATTATGCTCCGCTAGCAGATGCAGGCTGCCAGAATTGCTGTAATTTTTTTTAGGTCAGTGATCATATATTTGCGGAGAAGGTTGACGGTGAAATGATATTTCGGCTTTCTGTAACAATGAGAAATAGATTTAACATGTGCCTCGTTGTTATAAGCCTTCACACGCAACTCTCCGGTGCACATTAGGCCACTGTGTTCTCCATCCGGCATCTTGTGCAAAAATTGCTAGTTTAATTCACCTAAATTAGCTATAGTTGTTTTGGTCAGAGACTTCATTTCTTTTCTTTCAATAGGTCAAAGAGCACGGGACTAAAAGCTCGAGGGATGGACAAAGTACCAACCCAGTCACAAGTTGGCAAAGCAGCAATACACGACAGACATTCATACATGTAGAATAAAAAATAAACTTTACAAGTACAAAATGACACTAAGTACGAATACAAAAGTTATGAAACAAAGCTCCAGAAATAGAGAGTGAGGGAATACATATACTTGGCATGAACATGAAAAGCAAAAATCAATAAGTAGAGTGACCAAAGTTCCGGGAGATCTACTATTCGGGAAAGAAAATTAGCTGGGCAAAGCATCTATTGTGATGATTTTGAATATTTAAAATTACATATATCCACAGCAGTATAGTTTGGTAATAATTGTAAGAAATTAATTACACATATTATTACAATGAAGTGTCAAAAATCATGAGGATCAAAATTATACATTTATACACAGAGACATCAAAGTTAAAGGTACAATTCAGTATTAAGAATCTTTTAAAAAATGCACAAGACAGCTAATCGTTGCGACGTTTCTTGCAATATTTAAATAGATTCATAGGAAGTTCTCAATGGCAGAATAAAGGACAAAGTGTCAGTGTCTTTGTCGTTTAAGGTGATTAATAGGTAAGGTAGCCTGTAGGACAATGTTCATCCTAAACGCTGCTAGGAATAGGTAAAATCCACATTTAATTCTTCGTGCCTAGTGAGACAAACACTTGGGTTCAAGTTTATCTTAGCAAGATTAATTACGGTACTACAACCATCTTTAACCAATGCTTTATGACATGTCAGTTATAAATACGAGGTTTATTAGAATGATATTCTGGCTCCCGCAGCGCAGGCGCATTGATTCAAACTTCTGATCTTGGAGTATAATCACTAAAGAACCCGAGGTGGTCGAAATTTCCAGGAGCCCTCTACTACGGCGTCTCTCATAATCATGTGGTTGCTTTGGGACGTTAAACTAAACATATCAAAGCCTTTTCAAGAATGGTTTTCAGAGATGAGACCTTAAAGAGCTTAGGTGTCATGTACTGCCCTACACTTGCTCGATCACAATTACTTTCCGAAAACAGGTCACCACTTCACAGCGTGGGAGCAATTTTCGTGGAGAGCGGCGCGTGCTGTCTCGTTTGTCTCATCCGCAAGGTTACCCGCGGCGATGCATGCAGCGCCCCAAGCGGCATTGGCGCGCTTTGGGGACCATTTTCGGCGGCCGCTTTTCACACCTCCTCATTCTAGCCACCCTACCAGGGGTGGGGAACTCTAAGGGCCCATAGATGCCACTTACGTTGTCATCATCATCATCAGCCTGACTATGCCCACTGCAGGACAAAGGCCCCTCCCATGTGCCACCTGTCAACTCGGTCCTGTGCTTTCTGCTTCTACTTTATACCCGAAAACTTTCTAATCTCACCTGAACACTTAAATTTCTGTCTCCCTCTCACCCGCTTGTCTTCTTTGTGAATCTAGTCAGTTACCCTCAATGACCAGCCGTCATAGTTACCCTCAATGACCAGCGGTCATCTTGTCTAGGCTACGTGCCAGGGCCCATGTCCATTTCTTCTTCTTGGTTTCGACTATGATATTTTTTACTCCGGTTTGTTCCCTGACCCACCCTGCTCTCTTCTTGTCTCTTAAGGCTACATGTGCTCTAATTATAACAAATTCCAAATAATATGTATTTTACAGGCTATGACATATTTTTCTGAGAGTCAAATTTTGCTACTACTCAAAGTAGTTTCGACTTTCTATAAACGAAAAAAAAAACAAACCGAAAATGGCATTTGCATAAAGGCGCTATTTCAATTAAAAAAATACTGTGCAGGTTAGTTAGGTCACGATAAATATGCCCTTTTTTTTTATGTCATATATCTTATTCGAATTCGGTACGAAATTATTCGACCGAAAATTCGAATTCGCTTCAAATCTCAAATTCACTATTCGCACAAGCCTAAACATTTGGAGTCACTCCCTCATTTTTTTCTGAGAAAGGAACTTGTTGAACAACCATAACAGTGAAGTACTGTTGATTCTTTGCCCGTTAATCTATGAGCCGCCCGATGAACAACAATGGTGCACTGCACCCCTTGGACAGCGCACGTGTGGAGACAGCTCTCAAACTATGTGGTGATGCGGTCAGCAGCGATGCAGTGACTTTATTGCATGATTGAAATACAAAATGTTTTGATATCAGTGCTTAGAGCTGTGCTAAAATTATCTGTAGCTATTGGTCTCTGCAAACCACAAATAAAAAATAGGTGCTTCATTGTGTTGGAGGTCCCCTTTAAGAGTCTCCGCATGATGTGCAGGCGGTGCGGGCAGACCCTTCAAATATGGAGCTGCGCTTCGAGCTGTGCTCGCTGTATGAGCAAGTGGGCAACCAGCAGAGAGCTCTTGCTTGCTGCACAGCTTTGGTCCAGCAGATGGGGCATGGGGACGCCTGCCTGAAGCTCTCTCGGGAACTTGCCAAGGTGGGAGTTCCTAAGTGGACTTGTGAAAGGTCCGGCTGCTAAAATTGAATGTGTGTACAAGTTAATGTTGTGTGTTGTCCTGAGTGATGATATTATGCAAATGCTTTCCCTGCTAAGGCTCAATAGCAGCCACACTTTAGCGGCAAAAGCTCAGTGCACAATTACGGCCAGTGTGGCTTTTTATTGGGAACTAACAAACGGTTTGCACTTAGGGGTTAATTCCTGACAGGTATTCTACATATTCACAAAAGTTTGCTTTATGAGCATGGAACATCTGATAAGAAAACTGGCAGGCCTTCAGAGTTATCTTGAATGTTGCTATGCCTATTTGAACAGCAACATAAAAAACTTTTAATTCCCTTTCTTTGCTGCCATTTAACAGTTTCTTTGCATTTGATTCATGGCCAAAACATTGTCATGGATTTCGCGGTGGGTGGCCCTGCGCGATGGACTCAGTCGGACTCGAAAGTTGAACAAACATTTATCGAAGAAAACAAATGGCACTCAAAAATATATACAAATCTACAAGACCACACAAACAACTGTAGACTAATGAAATTAACCACAAACTAGACTAGTGACTAAACCATCCTAATTAATGTCCTAACACTTAATTGTCCTGATTAATGTGTTGACTGTCGCCTTATTTCTTATAGTAATTCGGGCAGGCATACATGATGCCGCTGCCTTGGCTAGCTCGTTGCCAAAGTCCGGTCTGTCATAGATGTTGACGTCCTCTCTGCCGCTCGATGCGTCCATCGGCACCTGTGTGTGTAAGCCATCGTTGCTGACACTCGTAGGTCCCTGTTGGGCTGCTGGTACTGGCGACTGCTTTACCCGGCATGGTGTTTGGTTGTTGACGTGGCACCCTGGAGATTGTCTTGGGTGGCTTCACTTCCAAAAGGGGGCTTGCGCCGGGAACGCTCGTCCTCGCTGGGAACGGCGGCTGCGTCTCCGAGGAGCCTCCTTTCGATTATTGCTAATTTCAACGACCACCTCGTGATGCCCGCGTCTCAGGCAGCTGACTCGAACGCCTGTCGCTTCTGTTGCTGGTGCGTGTTGACGATGCAATCTTCCGCCACCGAGCTCCCTGAGACAATGCTAGCTCATGACCTCCTCCTCCTTCAACTCGATGCTTGTGCCTCGAGTTTTCGAACATTCAAAGCACGCCTCTTTGAACGCTGGTCGTCTTCATCATCTTTCAACCTCGCGTTTTTCACTCATGACAAAAACATCTTTCTAGATGGTGCAAAGACTTGCATCCTGTCATGTTTTCTGGGCAACGGCCACCATTCTTCAATGCCGTGCTTTTTGTTTCTTGATACATGTCATCGCTGCTATGCAATGACACAGGGGATGTAGATAGTTTAAAGCACTCACAGTTCGGTTGTTTTGTTAATGTATCATGCTTTGCTAGCATGATACATTAACACTTAGCACTTAGTTGCAAAACTCACTGTAACTGCAAGTTAAAAAAAAAATTGCCACAACCATACCCTGGCTCACATTGTGGTGGCTCTTTTATGTAATGAGAAACTGTAAAACACACCACGTGCTGAGTAGAGCGATGGCACATGCAACATCAGATCCAGTCCAGGCCCAGACTGATTACGCTGAGGACCACGGAAAGCAAATGCTATTTGCACGAAACTGGTGCTGCAAGGTTTCTAGAATGTTATTTTAACAGTGCTAATCAACTTCGCATTTTCTTATAGTGTTCCTCCAAAAAGGCGTTATTGCGAGCTCATTCTCACCTCAATTATTTGGCTTCCCGTCATGAACCATCAACAGTGAGTCAAGATCCAGTGCCCATTGCTGGCAGTGATAGCGTCATCCGCACACACACATGCACATGCATACACACACACAAGCACATGCATAAACACACACTTGCATACACACATGCACACGCACACACACACACAAACCACTTTCATTTACAGTAGGCTCCCTATAGTTTAATCTTGAAAGTCTCGGGTCTCTCAATGAGAGCGCTGCTTTCAGAGCAAACGGACACTGCAGACGCGGTAGGACCAAAGCAAACAACATTTATTGATTCAATTACTTTTAGAATGACGATATCGCCAGCCGAATGAAAATACATCAGTTGTGATCAACACAAACCTTACACAATATTCCACAACACTCAACAACATAACAAACTTAAGGCAGTGTTGCCAACGCTCGACACATCACGAGGGCCTACAGCAGACGACCTGCGATGCTGTCCACCGTGGACTTGCTGCAAGAGACAATCATTCGTGCTAACTGCCACGCGCCTAAGAGAGTCCCCAATGTGCCATGTGACGCTACCCAGGTGTCACTGCCAGTGCTACCGTGCTAATCAGGATGATGATAATAGTGGTAAACGCTCATGAGCACAACGCCACGCCACCTACCGCTCGGTAGTTGTGAATCCTAAATGTGGCCTATGGCCAAACGAAACACGTGTGCGCCACGAGACGCTAACGACTTTACTGGGGTTGTTAGCACTCCACAAGGGGACCCTGGGATATTGTACAGATTATGTTATTAAAATGATCCAGTGCAACGTATCAACTAGTGTTGTAATGTTTATTATTTCTCGGGGCCACAGCAATGTCGGAGGCAGCTCTGCCAGGAAAGTTGTTAAATGTCGGCGATCATACTGGTGCTCCTGAACATCCAGCACTTGCATGTTTGCGTATCTAAAGGTCACCTACCTCTTGTGCTTTCTCAGATGCTCACTCTCTCACCGGAACAAGAATTGGCCTTCTTTCTCGCGGTAACTGTTGAGCCTCCTTACTAGGCGCTGGCCCTCGGACTCCAGCAGCTGCTGCACACCTGATCACTGCAGTGGTCGGACGTGTAAAGCAGCAGAGGATACTAAAAATTTTGTACTTGGAACAAGCCACTATGGAGAACTGAACCTTAGAACGTTCAACACCAGGACCTTATCAGGCAACGCTTGGCCGGCAGAGTTACTTCAGGAGCTGGAATACATTAACTGGGATATTATTAGCCTTAGCAAAGTTAAAGGAACTTGGAAAGCATAAACCTTACTAAATAGCGGACATGTCGTGTGCTATAGAGAACTTCCATAAAGGAGAGAATGGGATGTCAGATTTTAATTCACAAAGACCAGGCAGGCTACATTCAAGAGTTCTATAGTATCAACGAAAGGGTAGCAAGCCTCATTATGAAACTAAACTAGCGATACTAACTGAAATTGGTGGAGGTGTATGCCGCAACATCCAGTCATGACAGCCGAGAAGTAGAGCAGCAATACGAGGATATTGAACTAGCAATGAGACAAGGGCACACGGCAGTACACCATAATCATGGAAGCCTTCAGTGCAAAACTAGGAACAACACAAAATGGGGAAAGGGCAGTTGGTATTGACTCTAGGAAAGAAAGGCATTAGTGAAATTTGCAAAGCAGAACAGGTTTCGCATAATGAACACTTTTTTCCAAAAGCGTAAAATTAACAAGTGGACATGGAAAAGCCCTAACGGGCAGGCAAAAAATTAAATGGATATATTCTATGCGGAAACCCAGTCATAACACAGAACACTGATGTCATCAACTAGGTGAAGTACAGTGACACTGGGTTTTTAAGGGCGAAAATAATCCTTAATCTGAGAAGATCTCGAGCAAGATTAGCTATGAAAAGGCAACCCAACTGTAGATGTAGTAAACATAAAATTGGAAGATTTTAAGCTTACGATTGATAGAAAATACGCAGCTTTAAGATAAGAGGATAACGCTGACATGAAAGAGGGAAATGAAGCAGTAACTACTAGAAGGAGCTATCGAAGCCAAGAGAAGAACTAGGCAAGATTTCACAATCCGCTAAAAACTTGATAAAAAAACGGCAGCACATGAGGCAGACTAACTCCATATATAAAATAAAGTTTGCTGAGCTGACAAAGCTTATCAACTAGAGGAAAGTTCATAATATAAGAAACTAGAACATCAAACCAGCATCAAAACTTAAATAAAGAGACTTTTATAGGAAAAATAATAAAATGTCCATTTTCAAGGGCACACAGGGAAATATTAAGAACTTCAGTGACATAGTTCAAGTGCCTGAACTGAATGCTGAACTACTATATTGTTTGAAAATAAGTCATCGAACCTCGAGTGGAAATAGCGATGAGCAAAATACGAAAGTTCCACATGTGAGATTAGGAAGGCCATATGCGATATGCCATGAGGGAAGGCAGCTGGAAATGACTGAATAACAGTCCATCTAATTAAAGGCACAGGAGAATTTACTTGATAAAACTTAGCTGCGCTTTATACTCAGTGCCTCAAAACTGTTCCAGCGAGTTAGAAAAATGCCAACATTATGTGAATACCTAAAGGAGGAGACATCAAAGATCTATAGGCCCATCAGTTTACTTTTAGTGGTGTGAGATATTTATGAACGTAATCTCGAACAGAATACGAAAAACACTTGACTTCAACCAATTCAAAGAACAAGCTGGGTTCAGGAAAAGCTGCTTCACCACGTATCGCATTCATGTGATAAATCAGGCAATGAAGAAAGCTGCTGAATACACCAAACTCCTTTACTTAGCCTTGATAGTCTACAAAAAGGCATTAGACTCGGTAGAGATATATGCCAGTTTTAAAAGCATTAAATCAGCAAGGAGTACCTAAATCCTATGTCAATATCTTAGCCCACATCTACATAAACTCTGCTGCTGCTTAACACTTGACAATTAAAGCGATAAAATTGTAATCAACAACGGAAATACAAAAAACAGTAGAAAGGGGAAGATAAAAGCTTGCGATGGAAAATTCGTAAAATGGAGTTGCGTCGAGCCGACATTTCAAAAAGCGGACATGTCTTCCTCAAGGTTGGAACAGAACTGATTTTTTTAGCGCTACCGTGTCTATGCTTCATACCGTCTTCTCCATCCTTACAAAGGAGGGGGAAGGGTAACAATAAAAATGGCGGTGTGAGAGAGTGAGAGAGGGGGTTACTGTGACGAATTGTATGAATGAAAAACGA